AAACAGAGAGAGATACATAAAGAGGGGGGCAGGGAGGGAAAAAGCGAGAACAAGAGAGAGAGGCATGCCTGTAATTCCAGCACTTGGGAGGCTGAGACAGGAGGATTGATGTGAGTTTGAGGCCAACCTGGGCTACAAAGTGAGTTCAAGCCAGCCTGAACTACTTAATAAGACTCTGTGTCAAAAAGAGAGGGAGAGAGAAAAAAAAGACTGTCTCAAGTTAAAAAAAAAAAAATTAAGGAGGGCTGAGGATGTAGTCCGTGGCACAGCATTTGCCACTGAGCATGGGCAAAGTCCAGAGTTTAATCTCTTCTACTGCAAAAAAAAACACAAAAAACTTACAGCTAACATCAAGCTAAAAGACACCAGACCATGTGCTGGTCTCCCCCTGAGCTCAGGAGCAAGGCTAGGATGTCCTCTGTACTACCTTTTAACTAGAAGTCCTAGCTCTCGCAGTCATGCATCACACAAGAAAAGAAAAGCTGTGCATACTGGAAAGGAAGTAATAAAACTGTTTGTGGATCAGATGACAGTGTGCAAAAATCTATCACCTTCCTCATTAACAGCAATAAACAAGTTGAATTTAAAATTTTAAAAAACATTACAATTTACACAAACACCTAAAAAGTGAAATACAAGTACAAACCTAACACAATACATATAAGTCGGCTGGGCATGGTGGCGCACACCTGTAATCCCAGCACTCGGGAGGGAGGCTGAGGTAGGAGGATCACTGCAAGTTCAAAGCCAGCCTGAACTACATGTCAAGACCCTGTCTCAAAAAACAAAACAGGGCCAGGGATATAGCTCAGCGGCATAGCCTTTGCCTGGCAAGCGCAAGGTCCTGAGTTTGATTCCCGGTACCAAAAAACCAGAACAAAAAAACACAGAAGTCATATATAGGGAAAACTGTAAACTTCTGCTGAAAAATATCAAAGAAGGAAATAAACAGAGAGCTAACTTATATCTGTGCATTAGGAGACTCGATTATATTAAGATGTTAATTCTTCTCAATTTGATCTACAAATTTCCAGTGAAAATCCCAGCAAGTTATTTTGCAGATATTGACAAACTGATTCTAAATTTTATATGCAGGCCAGGCATTGTGGCACACACCTGTAATGCAGCACTGTGAAGCTGCAAAACTGAAAGAATTTATCACTGGCACCCAGTATTACAAGAAATCTTAAGGGAGAAAAAGTTTAAAGAAGGGGGAACAAAAATTATAACACACTGATCTGGGTCTATAAAAATAAATGAGAAGGGTGCCAGGTATAGTGGCATACACCTGTCATTTCAACAGTTAGGAGGCTGAGGCAGGAGGATTGCTGTAAGTACAAGGCCAGCATGGGCTGGGGATGTAGCTCAGCAACACAAGCACCTACCTCGCAAGTACAAGGTTCTGAGTTCCATTCCGGGTACCAAAAAAAAAAAAAAAAAGATTAGTAACTTGAGACTGATTTCAAGTTTTGTTTTTGTTGTTGTTGTTGTTTTTCCGGTACCGGGAATCGAACTCACAACCTCGTGCTTGCGAGGCAGGCACTGTGCCACTGAGCTAAATCCCCAGCCCCCAAGACTAATTTCATATCTAGGAAATGTCTCTTATAAAGTCTTCTAGACTCTTGCTTTCCCAGGTGTGGTGGCGCATGCCTGTAATCCCAGCACTTGGGAGGCTGAGGCAGGAGCATCATTGCAAGTTCAAGACCAGCCTGGGCTACAAAATGAGCCCAAGGCCAGTTTGAACCGCATAGTGAGACACTGTCTCAAAAAGACAAAAAAAAAAAAGCCCAGCCTGGTCTACATAGCAAGACTCTGTCTCAACACACAAAAAACAAAAAAGCCAGGTGTGGTGGTACATGAACTTCTGAGGCTGAGGCAGGAGGATCGCTGAGAATTGGAGGCTAGCCTGGGCTACACAGTGAGTTCAAGGCCAGCCTACATTACAAAGTAAGTTGGGGGGCGGTGGGGAACCAAGCAAGTGGAGACAAACAGTAACATAGTAGTTTAAAATATGATTGATTTTTGCAGAACTCTGGATTGAACCTTGGGCTTTCACACTGAACTATATCCCCATTACATTTTATTTTTTATTTTGAATCAGTATATCCCTAAATCCTTAAATTACCCAGGCTGGGCTGGAACTCCTACCTCCGCCTCCTAGAATGCTGGGATTATAGGCCCATACCACCACACCCAGTTTTACAGTATGGTTTATGATACAGGCTTTGAATGTACCATATGGGTATGAGCTGGAGGCTTAGGGTCAACCATATATGTGATTGCCCTGGTTAAAACTCTGGACACCAAGGACTCAGGTGAGCTTCCATGGTTGGCAGTGCTCCAAGTACCATCACACTTCAGTGTCAGAAGGGTAAGATCTCAGAGGTGACAGGAGCTTTACATTTAGAACCCTCCCAGACTGTGCCCTGTGTGTCTCTTCCTTTGGCTCTAATTTAGTTTCATAAATTGCTATAATACAACTGTAGTTGTAACTACATATAGCACTTTCTTGAGTTCTGTGAGTCATACTAGCACCTGATGGAACCTGATATGGTTCATATGGATGCTTAACAGGGGTGATTCTAGGGATGTCTGCACTTGTGACTGTGTCTGAGGACAGGAAAGCCCAACAGGGGCCATTCCCTCAGACTGCCACTTGCTTAAAGCCCCTATAACTAGTCAGCACTAAAAAAGGAACAAACTGTCAATAAATGTATATGTATACATGTGGGTGAAATGTTAATGTATATGTGAAATGCTGAGTGATACTGTTACTGCAAAACTAAGCAGACACCCAAGGAAGTCAAGAGGCAGGGGACAGGTTTATTTTACACTAATGGTCCTGGCTGGGACAACTTCCAACAAAAGCCAGTTGGTGAATGTCTGTGAGCCAGCTTTTTTTTTTTTCCTTTTTGAAACAGGGTCTTGCTATGCAGTTAGGGCTGGCCTTGCGCTCACTTTGTAGCCCAGACTGGTCTTGAACTCTCAATGATCTTCCTGCCTCAGCCTCCC